CTCCAGAGTATACAGAAGAGTATTGCTTGTACTGTACTCTTTCCTGTCCCTATTACCTCTAGGGCCTTATATTGTTTGTTCTGGAAGAACATGATTTCATTACTGTCAGATGATTTCTGTTCCTTGTAAAGCACTTATTGGTGTTACCTTGGGGTACCGCGTAAATAATACAAATCTCACAATGCCTCTTTGATGAGAGGGCTTAAACCCAACCAGTGTGTCCAAAAGCACCTTGAGTTTCGTCTCAGTAATGCCTGGAAGAAGACCATATCTGTCAAGAAAAGGAAGAAGATTAATGTGCAAAAAGGAAGCTGTGATTTTTCTATTGTCCTCAACAAATAATACACACCAAAAAACATTTATCTGAGTGAAAAAGAAATTCAGTGGGCATTACAGGTAGCTCAGCATAAAATCCTGTACAGCTGTAGAAGCATTTCTCAAGGACATATCCTGTCATTATATAAAGCAACTATTTAATTGCCACCTTTGCAGTCAAATGCTCTACCACTGAGCTATACCCCCTTTAATTGTCACCTTTGAACCATTGCTCCTGCAACTTTCACTTAGCAGAGATACTAATGTACTTCATTTTTTATGAAAACACTTACTATAGAGCCTAAGGAATTAATTTCAAATAAGGTCTATATTTATAAATACATAGGTAAAAATAATAAACTACTATACATGTCTGTAAGAGCATGATTTAGATAATTGTTGCTCAATCCTAAATTTCTTCTTTTCAGGACAAAAAGACTTGAATACCTATCATTAATTTAAATGCACTTGATATTCCCACAAAATGTAGAAATCGAATAGCAAAGAAAGATGTGTCCTTTTTTTGCATTTTATTTCCTTTATATTGTGAACAAACACTTGATAAGCAACACCCAAGTTTTATTTTCAACAAGAGTCAGAAAACTGTCAAAGACAGACTATTTTCCATCATACAAATGACTTGATCACAGATAATAAAACTGTGGTAACCTCAGAGCCTAAATAACCATGTAAATGGGTTCTCTGTTCCTTGAGGCAGATGGTGGATCACAACAGAGATAGGTTATGAATTCCAAAAAGATTGTCCTCCAGGGTATAACAAAAAATAACTGGAGAAGTAGATTTAAAATATAGTTAAAGTGGAACCAAAACAGAAAAATCACATCAATTTTTAAGAGTTCAAGAAGACAAAAGCAGAGAACATACAGATTGTATTAAAACTACTCTGGGAAGAAAATCATTTTGAATTGAGATATTATGCATATGTTAACAGAAGGAAATTGGAATGTATTTCAACAGGATGAATAATGTTATCTGATTCATTATATGTCAGGTCCAAAATTGTAGGAAACTGTAGCCCTCTATGTCTATTAACCACCTTCTACCTGCTGCTGGCCCAGAGGTGTGCCCACCCCAAGCCTAGTCATTGTTGGAAGCTCTCAAACTCTTGTTTCTAGATCGTAGGTGAGAGTGAATTAGGAACTATTATGGAAGAGAATTAGTTCTAATTAAGGAGATCTTGCATTTTCAGTAGGACTCAAAGGAACCCAGATTAAAATATAGACTACCTTATCTAGGTAAGGATCAATGGTCATCATTGTCAAAAGGCCAATAATGAATGTCCAGGAAGGCATGTGCTAATGTGGTTTGGCAAAAAATTCAAGAGTACCGATTTCAGCACTGATTCCTTCCTATACATATTCTCAGGCCATTTGGCTATATTAATTTACATATAAATGTACACACACACATATCACTTGCTCCCGCATACATTCCCAGCCTCATCTCCCACCACTTTTTTCCCCTTTTTCTGTACTCCAGCTCAGCTAGCTTTCTCTCAGAATGTGTCATGCTCTTCCCTGACTCAGAGCCTTCACACTTGCTCTTCCCTCTGCCTAGGCTCTCCTCCCTGTTAACCAAGGTAACACCTATTCAGGGTTTAAGTCTCCTTTAATGTTATTTCCCCTACTAGAGCTTCACAGAAGTTTGCAGCTTTTTTTCAATATATTAATCTCAGTTATGGTTAATTGTAATGTCCGTTTCCTAGGTAAATGATAAACTCCAAAAGAAGAGGGATCTTATCTGTCCCCCACCCCCCACAAACTGTATTCCTAATGCCTAGTATAGTATCTGGCTCATAGGAATGGCTCAATGAATATTAGTTGAATGAAAGGACAAATGTAGAATTTTTTGTTGAGTAGGGTGTTACCTGAAAACTTCAAAAAGTCCTGCTGCTGCATACACAGAGACCAATGCCTTGAAGTACAAAAAAGGAAAGCTTCTTTTAGATACATAACTGCTTGCTTCATTTATCTCCTGAATCCAGATGCAGACTTCAAGGCATTCCCTGTGGATATTTTGGTGACCAGGAAAAGTAACAAATGCCTGGAATTTAGGAGTAGATAGGACTAGAAGGTGCCTATGGATAAGTCTGTCTGGAGAGGGAAGAGACTGGCCCCATAAATCTTTAGTGGTGTACAGTGGACTTCTCATGTACCAGAGCAGATTGATCCCCCTACACCCAGACTATAACTGAGGGTCTTTGTGAGACCTGGAGTGATTTCATGGAGACCTCGAACATATTATAATCTACTTCAATATAAGGTCTGTTGATTATTATAACCTAGTGTAGTGTGGTCACAATACTCAAGAGAGGAACCCTTGGTCTCAGGAATAGGATGATTTTAAGAAAGGCCATCCAGGTAAGTTTGAGCAGTGGAAGGTCTAAGTAACACTCAGGTATCTACTATGGTCAAGGTGCATTGCTGATATGTAGTATGTTATACATTATGAAAGACTAGTTCACTGAACCCTGCCGGACTCTTTGTAAACAGACCTATCGGACAGTCATGCTCAAAACTATATTTCTGAGTTGGTATAGTATTAATATTCATTCATGCTTTCACTTTTGTTCAACAGACCAATAATTTGAAAAATATTATACCTAGGGTGCCTGGGTAGCTCAGTCAGTTGAGCGTCTGACTTTGGCTCAGGTCATCATCTCATGGATTGTGTGTTTGAGCCATACATTGGGCTTGCTACTGTAAGTACAGAACCTGCTTCCAATCCTCTGTCCCCCACACTCTTTGCCCCTCCCCCACTTACTCTCTTTCAAAAATAAATATTAAAAAAATTACACCTATATTCCCTTCTTGGAGAGTCACAATGTGCATAGCATATTGAGGGGAAGTTCTGCACTAAAGAAGTCTTCAACTCATACGACCAGGAAAACTTGTTTTTCAGAAAACATTTATGTGTCAATAAGGATAGTCTAGTAAAGCTGCTATGTCAAACAATCTCTAACCTTCAGTGGCTTAAAATAACAAGGTCTATTTCTATCTCATGCTGCATATCCTAGTTGGATTGACTGGAGGTCCTGTGTCATGTGAGTCTCACCCTGGGATCCAAGGTGTCTGTACAGTGAGCATGTAAGCATTTTTGGTCACTCTAGCAGAGAGGAGATAAGCTCTGGATGTTTTCACAGTGAAATGTTCTAGTCTGAAAGTGAAACGTGGAATTTTGTCTCATAACCCATTGTCCAGAACTAGTCACATGGTCCACACCTGACCACATGCCTGGAGACTAGACAGCCAGAAATACAACTAAACCTGTTAACCTGACTGAACATTAATGGTCATTGAACTACAGTTAGAAACCACTGCTGTTCACCACTCTAAAATAAGGATGATAATTACCATTGAAGAATGTTTAACATCTATGCCATACTTAATCAGGGATAAGAAATGAAAGGTTGACTTTTTCCTCACACTAATCTAGGGAAGAGGGGTGTCACAAAAAAAAACTCCCCCAAAATTATTTTGGGAGATTTTATTAAAACAGTTCTTTTCACTAGAAGTTTCTAGTGGAATTCCCACAACAAATAACAATCATTTTCCAGCCAATTCTTCATTGCTTCTCTCAAATACAAATATAAAATGGAAAGCATGGATAATTCCACAATATAGCCTATCTCTAGGCTACTAGAGGGAAGTATACCATAAATGTCCATTTACAGTGTCTTTTTCACAGATGTGCTGTTAATGCTGTCATCAGGAAAACCTTGAAATAAAAGCAATGAAGTTGGCATACAATTCATCTATAAAAAATTAAGTATATTTTGTGCTACTATCATAACCTTTGAAAATTAATCTGTTAAGTCTCCCAAATCAAACTTTCTAGTATCTTGGTATCTGTCCTGATAGTTGGGCATAACTGTATCACATAATGACACAATACAAAAAGACAGTGATAATGTTCAGAAATAAGTACCTTCATTTTGAGATGTTATCACCTGTATACTAAGCACAATGAAGGCTCTTATCAGTGGACATTCAAAAGTTTTTAATGCACTTTTCTTCTGTGAGAAATACAGGGCATGCTAAATTATATCATTTACTCGGCCGTCTCCCAAGTTCCACCCCAGGTCCTCCTTACATACTTCCTATATACAATTATAGTTGCATTACCTAGTATATGTAAAATGCTTTAAGTGATGCTTCGCACATAATAGTTACTAAGTGCTGGTGGTGGTTGTTGCTGCTTATTATTATTATTATTATTATTATTATTATTTCATGTTTTACAAGTGATGCTTTATATTCACATGCCCTGCAGAAATTCCAAAGTATGATTTGCTTTAGTAAGTTCAATCTAGTGCTCCCAGAAGGGAAAAAGTCTGATATGCAAGGCATCTTCTGTATGACATTTTTCTTCTTTGGGACAAAATAGGCAGATCACCTTAGAAGTGATCAAATTGATCAAAAATGTGTTTAGAATACTCTGTGTGTGTGTATGTGTGTGTATGTGTGTGTGTACCTCTAGGTAAATGTTACCAAGTGATTACCTGAAATGGCAAATATTGAGAACAAATTAAAATAATTTTTGATAACTCTACCATGAACACAATGATTACAACAGCCCCTTCTCATATTGTATCACCCTCAAACTGTGGGAAATCACTTGCAGAATTATTCAAGTATTTAACCATATATTTTATTTTTATAGTAATGAATCTGATATGCTCTAATCTCTTTTTGTTTTTTATATATCATCCATATATCATTCATTCCATTCACTTAAAGCATCATCTTCAGTTCCAGGCATTTCTGTTGGTGACTGGTCAAGAGAAGTTGAATCTTTGTATCTCACTGAACTCAGCTCAGACTGTATCTCAGTTGACGAGGATTTCTCCCCCCAGAAAGACTTGACTGCCCCCCTAGAGAAAAATCAAAACAAAAATCCCTTGTGAAATGAAAACTAAATAGATCTATATAATTTGCTCTATATAGAAGTGCCTCCTTAGTCATGCTTTATTTTTAGCTTGTGGTGTATCAGCTACACAGTGACAGTAGATGAGTCCTGAGACTGTACCAGAGTGTGAACTCCTGTAAGTATTAGAAATATTCTTTTAAAAAGTGAATTAGTAGCTTATACTAACCAAGTTTTAGAGTTGTAAGAACTACAACCGGACAACACACATATCCATTCAAAACATGTTTTTTTTAGCAATTACTATGTAAAATTATAAAAATTGCATTTAAAGCTCTCTTGTGGCTGGGAAGCAAGTCGTGAGATTAGCCTGAACTGGAATAGTTGCAGGAGGTATGAAGGGATTGGACTGTTTCAAGATACATGTGCGAGGCATTATGGACAGGGCTTTGGACTCATCAAACAAGAAGTGGGGACAGACAAGGAGGACATTAAGCAAGGGAGGTAAAGAGCCCTTTACTTACCAGTTTATAATTATGAAGATCAGCACAAAGATCACAAATATACAGATAATGACTCCTATGGTCAGCACAAACACTAGGACTGCATCAGTGTCCGGTCGGCTTGATCTTTTCATTTGCAATTCTAGAGAAAAAACACATACCTGATAATTATTACTACTGGAAAAAAAGGAGATATATATCCAAATGGAAACTTTATATCTAAAAAAGGACTTTAGAAAAATACAGGAAGAATTAGTAGAAAGATAGTTACTAGTAAACTTGCTCATCACCTTTGAAATGTCCTTTTCTTTTTTAAAATAAAACTTATCATCAAATTGGCTAACATACAGCGTGTACAGTGTGCTCTTGGGTTTGGGGGTAAATTCCCATGATTCATTGGTTACATATAACACCCAGTGCTCATCCCAGCAAGTGCCCTCCTCTATGCCCATCACCCATTTTCCTCTGTCCCCTGCGCCTCCCCCATAAACCATCAGTTTGTTCCCTGCATTTAAGAGTCTCTTATGGTTTGCCTCCCTCCCTCTCTGCTTGTAACTATTTTTTTCCCTTCCCTTCTCCTGTGGTCTTGTTAAGTTTCTCAGGTTCCACATATAACTGAAAACATGATATCTGTCTTTCTCTGACTGACTTATTTCACTCAGCATAATACCCTCCAGTTCCATCCACATTGCTGAAAATGGCAGGAATTCATTCTTTCTCATTGCCAAGTAGTATTCAATTGTATATATAAACCACATCTTCTTTATCCATTCATCAGTTGATGGACATGAAATGTCCTTTTCAAACATGTAGAATAGTTTAAAGAATTTAACAACGAACATCCTGTATTTCCACCACTTAGATACTACCTTCAACATTTTACTATCCATCTGTCCATCTTTCTATAAATCCGTTGATCCATCTTAATTTTTCAATGCATTTCAACATAATTTGCTAATGTCTGCACACTTCCCACAAAAATCTTCAACAGGCATATCGTTAACTAGACTTCAATACTTGTTTATACTTTTTCTTTTGAGGTAAAATTTACCACGAATTGAAAAAAGATTTCAAATGTACATTTATTTTGGCAAATGCAAACACATATGTATAATTCAAGCTCTATGATGACTCAGACTATTGCTGTACCCCAGAAACTCCCTTGAGTCCTTCCCAGTTAATCACTGCCAGGCAACTACTGTCCTGATTTTCTTTTCCACCACAGATTAGTTCTGCCTGTCCTAGAACTTGATAGGAATGGAAATATACACTATATATTCCTTCATGTAAGACATTTTTACTCAGCCTGTTTTAGAGGTTCACCTACACTGCTGCATGTATCAATAGTTTTTTTTTAATTGATGAGTAGTATTCTAATTTATCTATTCATTTTCCTACTGATGGGCATCTAGGCTGTTAGAGCTTTAAGCTACTATAAATAAACTGCTATGAACATTTTTTTTTATGTTTTATTTATTTCTAGGAGAGAGAGAGAGACAGCGTGAGCAGGGGAGGGTCAGAGAGAGAGGGAGTCACAAACCGAAAGAGGCTCCAGGCTCTGAGCTGGCAGTCAGCACAGAGCCCGACGCGGGGCTCGAACCCACGAACCGCGAGATCATGACCCAAGCGAAAGTCGGACGCTTAACCGACTAAGCCACCCAGGGGCCCCTCTTTTAAACCCTTGAAATTCCATGTTCAAGATGAAGAATAAGGACATTTCTACCTTTCATCTAAAATATTATTCAGAGTATATTTTTGAAGTCAGTTAAATCAATAAATGCCATGCAAAACCCTGGTATGAACCAGGTGACCTCATTAATGCCAGCTTCACANCTCCAGGCTCTGAGCTGGCAGTCAGCACAGAGCCCGACGCGGGGCTCGAACCCACGAACCGCGAGATCATGACCCAAGCGAAAGTCGGACGCTTAACCGACTAAGCCACCCAGGCGCCCCTGCTATGAACATTTTTATTCAGGTCATCTGCAAATGTACTTTTCTCTTGGATAAATACCTACGAGTGAAACTGCTGGGTCATAAGATAGAGGTACCCTTTATTTTCCCAAGAAACTGTAAGATCTTTGTCCAACCTGATTATACTGGTTGTACATGTTTTATGAATTTTTTCTCCCAGGTTTTGGCTTGCCTATTCATTTTTCTAATGATTTCTTTTAATGAGCTAAAGTTTTTAATTTTGATGAAGCCTAATTTATCAACGTTCCCTTGCATGGTGATTGTTTTCTGAGTCCAATCTAAGAAACCCTTGCCTACTCCTGAATCATGCAGATATTCTCCTATGATTCCTTTTTAATGCTTTATGGTTTTCGTGTTTACATTTAGGACTATGATATATCTCTAATTTTTAGATATGTTGTAAGATATGGCTTGAAGTTTATTTTTTTATACAAATAACCACAGACCATTTTTAAATTAGACATTCTCTCCCATATCCTTCTGCTTTTCTTGCAAATAAGGCTATTAAAGAGACAAAACCAGTCTATCATATGTATTATAACTTGTGTATTATAACATATGTATTATACCATATGCATTACACCATTGTAAATTGGTGAAAAGCCAATTTACATCAGATTTTACTTACCTTACCAATTATATAGCTTTCTTGTGGTTCTTCCCAATTCATAAATCATAGGAACATAAAGAATTCATGTGTAGAAGGACCAGAGAGATCACCAAATGCAACTACTAAACCACATAGATAAGTAAACCAATGTTCAATCATGATTTGTGCAAGTTATGCTTTATAATTTGTAATATTTTAATTTTGGTAAGTGCCACTGTATCGGTAGTAATTTCCTATATGGGCAATTTCAACAGCTTATTTGTCTGGATTTTCTTCCTACTTTTTTTTTTCAAATTTTTTATGTTTATTTTTGAGACAGAGACAGAGCATGAGCAGGGGAGGGGTAGACACAGAATCCACAGGCTCCAGGCTCCAGGCTCCGAGCTGTCAGCACAGAGATCCATGTGGGGCTTGAATCCACAAACTGGAGATCATGACCTGAGCTGAAGTCAGACGCTTAACCGACTGAGCCACCCAGGCACCCCTCTTCCTACACTTTAAACACCAAGGAGTATAATTTTTCACTTTTCTTAGTAATTCCAGTGCTATAAACTCAATTAGTGATCTCACTAAACAGTTTCAAGTATGACAGAGAAATCACATCATATTTATATTCCAACATTGTTAGATTTTTAAAAATCTTTTTGTTTTTGATAATTTTAGATTTACAGAGGCAGTGAGACTTTTTTAAGTTCAAATGAGAGACACCTTTTAGGATTAAAACCTGAGAAGAAGAAATGGCAAAATTCCTTGCCATTTATTCACTACCCTGCAATACTAGCCAAGAGAGGATGGAGAGTGAAATTTCTGTGGGAAGTGTGCAGACATTAGAAAATTATGTTGAAGTGCATTGAAAACATAAGATGGATCAATGGATTTATAGAAGGATGGATAGATCAATAGTAAAATGCTGATGGTAGTATCTACATACTTCATTTCAACAGTAGTCTTGCATGGATTATTTTTATATCTAGATTAGTTTTATACCTTAAAAAATGGGCTGCTTTTTTTTTTTATTGAAAATGCTCAATGAACAACAGGCAAATTTCAATGTTCTAACTTCTTAGAAGCACTAAGCTGATGCTTGCATTCGTTTTCCAGGGCACCACAAACTGGGTGACTTAAAAACAACAGAAATTTATTGTCTCATGGTTCTAGAAGCTAAAAGTCTGAATGCAAGGTGTTGATAAGGCCATGCTCCCTCCAAAGGCTCTGGGAGAAGATCCTTCCTTTCTTCTTCCTGCTTCTGGTGGTCCCAGATGTTCCCTGACTTGTGTCAACATAACTCTAATCTCTGCCTCTGTTTTCACATGGCTGTCTTCTCCCTGAGTGTCTTTGTGTCTTCACATGACATTCTCTTCTCTCTCATTCTGTGTTTTGTCCAAATTTCCCTCTTCTTATAAGGGTACCAGTCATAGTGAATTAAAGGCCCACTACATTCTAGTATGTATGACCTTATACTAACTGAACAAATTACATCTATAATGATCCTATTTCCAAATACAGTCACATTCTGAAGTTCTGGGAGTTAGAACTTAAGCAAGGAGACACAATTCAATCCATAACAATGCCTAATTATAAAGACTACTGTTGTGGGAGTGAAAAAGATGTAAAGGGAATGGATGGGAAATTTTCATTAACTAAACCATATTTACTCTACCAATATTGCAATTGTGTACTTGTTTCAAGCCAGTGCCAAATTAGGTTGACATGTATGCATTTGTTCAATGTCCAAATAGCCAAAAGCATCTGTTGCAATGGCGTTCCCAATTACCATTTTTAAAAGAAACTGATACCAAAGTGTTCTGAAAACATTTTGTCATTTAACCAGTTCATGTCCTGAGATGGCAGAGCTAACCCATCAGCGTTGGACCACTTGCTACAAGAGAGAAATCAATGTTGTCTCACTTAAGGACTAACATTTTGGGGTCTGTGTTCTAGCCCTTAGCTTACACAGTATCAAATGCATATTGACTTCTAATCACAGGAAGAGCTATGGTCCTAACAAGGATTAGACTGTAGGGACAAAAACGGAGAATTGGCCCCCCAAAACCTTTAATACCCTGAACTAGTACTCACTGAGATATGTTTTAGTTTGATGAGATTTGGCCCTTTCTTGCTTTTTTTAGTATTATTGAAATTATGCTTTCAACACTCCTAGGATTATTAGCTTTTACCATAATTGTTTTTTTTTAAAGACAATAACACATCAAAGAAAGTTATAGTTTATTTTTAAAAGTCATCCCCAAAACATTTTAGCTTATTTCCATTTTAATAATCAGTGTTATATTGTCCGGTATCTCTAAACCACAGCATAAGTTCTTTCCATTGGATTAAGAAATAGCTTCAAGAAATCCACGAACTCTCTTAAAATAACGGGCGGCTCTTGGCATGTTTGTTTAGGCAGGCATTTTTCTGGGAAAAGCCTCCTGAACTTTTATTGGATTCTCAAAAGACCTTGTGACCAAGCCCCCTTATACCCTCAATAACAGTGACAACGATGGTAAAACTGGTTAAGAACTGAACAAAAGGAAACAATTAGATATATTAGACATCATAGGCTAAACTGAAAGGATACACACATGGATTCATTTTGCAAGGGAAGCAAAGTTTCTAACATGTAAAGTTACGTTTAGGACAAGATATGCCTTTTGTGACAAAAATTGAGGACAGCATTATTGTTTCATCAAAAAAAGATTTTCTTCAAATGAATAATTTTTAAAAACCCATGTTTTGACATACTGTTTCTTAGTTTTATTTATTTTACTGTGCCAAAAATTTTGTAAGCATCCATAAGAATTCCATATAACCACTTTCACTCTTGTGATAGAAGTAAGAGAGTATAATTCAAGTTAGAGGACTGTTCTTTGGAAATGCTTCAGGAATGCACAAGTTTCCCAAAGTGAAACACATCTGATTCTACTTTGTGAAAAAGAAATTAAACATCACTGGGGCACCTGGGTGGCTCAGTTGGTTAAGTGCTGACTTTGGCTCAGGTCATGATCCTGCAGTTCTTGGGTTTAAGCCCTGAGTCAGGCTCTGTGCTGACAACTCAGAGCCTGGAGCCTGCTTTGGATTCTGTGTTTCCCTCTCTCTCTCTCTGCCTCTCCCCTACTAGCACTTTGCCAATCTCTCTCTCTCTCTCAAATATAAATAAACATTAAAAAAAATTTTTTTAAGAAATTAAGCATTACCTTGTAGAAAGTCTAAATGATATAAACCAGTGGTTTACAAAATGTTGTCTCTGGACCAGCAGCACTTGGGAACTTGTTAGAAATGCAAATGATTCTGCCAGCCCCATCCAGGATCTACTGAATCAGAAACTCCGGGTGGGCTATCAGTCTGCGTTGCAAAGAGTCCTCCAGATGATTTTGATGCTTTATAAAGTTTGATATAAGCAAACAAAAATATTACTTGCACTTACCACTTGTTGTATAGACTGTGAACTTAATAGATGCTACTATTTCATTATTATCCAAGGTGATACACTCGAAAACCAAGGGGTGAATTTCCCTGCGTACTTCCAGGATTGCTGAATCATTTGCAAGGATAACAGGTTGCTATTTAAAAAGAAAAACAATACCAATATTCTTCATTTGGACTTAAGATCAGGAAACAACTTATTCCCGAAAAGAGTAGTCATTGTCTTTTAGCTTAGGACAGTAATTAACTATACACATGGGTTTTAGAGTCAGACAATCCAGACAATAAAGTACCAACCCTACCACTTCCTGCCTGTGTGAGCTGGGAGAAGTTACCCACTGCTTCTCAGTTATTTATGTGTAAAATGGGCATAATGAAAGGATTACCTCATAGATTCTTATGTGGGTTAAAATAAACTGTAGCACTTGGTGTATGTTTGACACTTAAGCCCCCATTATCTTGATATAACTCCTATACATACAAATGAAAAATTTGCTTCCAAAATAGAAAACTTTATATAAAATGGATGTTTTTAAGTTCTGATAATAGCTGACCCCAAGACATATGTAAAGATTTAGCCCCACTTAATAATGAAAAATTTTAAATCTCAGTAATAAAACAATTGTAAGATTTTTTAACTTCATTTTTGCAAACTGTTTCTAAAGAGAGAGTTTTCTGATAGCGGTCAAGCACTGGGACACAAATTTTATCACTCACTAGAAAGCACCATATTACATACATTCATGACTTACTTGCTCTGGCCTTAGAAGTTTCCAAACATATTTGAAACGATTTACAGGAGATATATGAATACATGCCATTCTAACACTGTCAAGACTTTCTGAAACTGGTCTACCCCCTAAAAACAAGAAAAATTAAATACATACATACCACTGGGCATTGTACATTGCTTTATACAAAGGCTACTTTTAAAAGCCACTTTCAGTTTTAAAATCAATTATATGCTGGAAGTTATAAAAATTATGAAGAGTTTGAGTGTAGAAGAGCAGAGAGGAATCATGGATACAAAGTCAAGTCATTAAAAGAAGCAGGTGGGAGACACCATAGCTGTCTGGTCCTTCTGCAGAAGAAATAGCAAGGGCAACCTAAAATTTAGTGATCTATTAGATTAAGCTTTGAGATCTGCTAGTGGCTTTCCATTTATTGGTTAGGGAACCCACTAGAGACAATGAACTCTCAGAGCGGTGTAATTTGATATAGAACAGACCTCAAAGTTCTCAGTTTAAAGCTTGCCAATCTACTGATAATCATGCCAATCACTTGTCATAACCAGAGTGTCAAAAGAGTTTCACTATAGGACAGCCTTGACGACAGACCCTGAGTATAAGCTTCCAGTGTATTACATAGAATATACGTTAAATTTTAGACACCCCTGAAAAAATGTAAAGCAAAAGCAGAAAGGTACTCAGAGCTATTACTGTCTAGAGAACTGGAATTTTAAGTTTTATTAAGTTTCCTTTCAGTATATCAATTGATCGGCTCCTTCCACTCATGGCTACCGGAGGTTAAAGCTATTTCCCCAGGGTAAACTCTTCCCTTCTGTCTCCCCCCAATACAGAGTCCAACTCACAGCCGCAATCTACCGGTCCACGGCATTCTTCCACCCTTACGATACACTTGGATTCACCTCCAGGGCATCCATTTGTTAGGATAACTTCTCTAATACCAACACCTTTGGTAAAAGAAATCGGCAAGTGTTAAGAAAACTCATTCCAGTTTCTTTTCTTTTCCACCTAGGCCTTTTGTTTTTGAGACTTCTTTCCTAATTTCATAAGTTAAATTCCTAAATTCAGGGAGATCATGTTGCAAATTATTTTATGCCCCTCATTTTGAATTATTTCATAAAACAGCATTTCCCAAAGTGATTACATAAAACACTAGTTCCTCTGGTCATTAGCATAAGAAAAAGGATTCCACAACTATACACATCTGAAAATGAGACATTAAATAAAATTAAAGAGTCCTCTTTACAGAATTTGGGGGGAAACTTGAATATACTAATAAATTAATGTGTTATTGTGTATAAACTTTCATTGATTGAAGATGTAAAATTTTTTCATCTTAACATTTTTGAAATCAGAATTTATCTTAGAATTGACAACATGTGACAAATTGGCAACATTTTTCCATGTTAGAGGTGCACAAAATATACTACTCATAGCTGATAAAGTCTTAGATTTGATGAAATACAATAGTACACAGGATCTCTCAAATTTATCTGGCCATGGAACTTTCAGAAGAGGTTTTGGGGGGCACCCGGGTGGCTCAGTTGAGTAAGCATCTGACTTTGACTCAGGTCAGGATCTCACAGTTTGTGAGTTCAGCCCCACTTCGGGCTCTGTGCTAACAGCTCAGAGCCTGGAGCCTGCTTCAGATTCTGTGTCTCCCTCTCTGTCTGCACCTCCCCTGCTCATACACACACACACACACTCTCTCTCTCTCAAAAATAAATAAACATTAAAATATTTTTAAAAAGAAAAGAAAAGAAAAGATTTTGGAACTCTAGAGGACATTCCCAAAGACACATTTTATTTTTTCTTTTTTAAATGTTTATTTATTTATTTTGAGAGGGAAGAAGGGGCAGAGAGAGAGAGGTGGGGGAGAGAGAGAGAGAGAGAGAGAGAGAGAGAATTCCAAGCAGACTCCACACTGTCAGCACAGAGCCAGATGGAAAGCTCAAACTCACGATCCGTGAGATCATGACCTAAGCTGAAATCAAGATTCAGATGCTTAACCAACTGAACCATCCAGACGCCCTGCCAGAATCACATTTTAAAACATAAATGATCCTTCAATATTTAGATTAGTAAAATCACTGCATTATATATATAGGAGGATAAACTATTAATGACCAAATCTCAATTTCTAACAAGATCCTCTCTTTAGAATTACCACACTCTCTTACTACAAGAAATCAGGTCTTTACTAACAGATCTCAGATCTCTGCTGGGTTTGCCTTTCATTGCCATAATTGAGGAACATGATAAAATGCTTAATCTGCAACATGTTAAACATGTCCTATGGATAAGTGACCTATGATAAGACGGTGTGATCACAGGCTAAGGAATGGTGCATCTTGATTTCCTTGTCTACCATATTCCCTCTTTCAGCCTCTAAAGATGTTAATACTAAAACCCATTCTCAAGGTCAAGGGTAAGTTGAGGTCTACAGATGACTTACAACAGAGCTTCTCAAACTTTAGAGTGCATGCAATCACCTGGAAATCTTATTAACAGGCAAATTCTGATTCAGTAGGTCAGGAGGAGGTTCTGAGATTCTGCATTCCTAACAAGCTCCCAGGTGAAGCTGATCTGTGGACCAAACTTTGAGTAGCAAGGGAGAGGACTCTACATGAGATAAGGAGATGAAAGATTGGAGAAGGTAAGATCTCTGTTTTTTCAAATTATGCTTTTATTTTCATTCCAGTGTAGTTAACATACAGTGTTACATTAGTTTTGGGTGTACAATATAGTGACTCAACAATTCTATGATTACTCAGTGCTCATCACGGTAAGTGTACTCTTTGAGGAAAGATTTCTTTTGATTAAAAGAGATGCCTAAGAATGGTTGCAGTATAGCTCTGCTTGAATTTATGAAAGGCACCTCACTAGATGCACAGCCTTATTTTGAACTGCATAAATATTTTCCAAGCAAATTTATTTATGAATTTATTTAGCCAAATACAGTTCATTGTGATGATGTGTGTAGGTGTGAGATTTTCTGTAAGTCCAAGTAAACCTAAAAATCTGCCTGGGTATTCCAGAAAAAGAAAATGTTTTTGACTGCTAAAATATTGTTTTGAGAGTTCAATAGAATTCTCACCAAAGCACTTTTTTTGTCTAAATAGTTCTGTTATAAACTGAAAAAACTTGAAAATATTTTTAAATATTTTAGATGTGAAATATTATCTTTTATGGTTGATCTTTCTCTTTAGAATTTATCACCATCTGACATGTGACATGTTTGAATATTATTTTTCTCTTTGCCCCTACTAAAATATACACTCCTTGAAGGCAAGGAGTTTCCTCTGCTTTGTTCCAGTTCCTGTAACAAAGCCTGGGATGTAGTAGGCCAAATTCAAAAAATCACTTGATGAATGAGCAAATATATAATTTTTGAAACACATCTCTAAATAATAGATTAATACCCTATAAATTACTAGAATTGTCTTAAAAATACTTCTCTACCTGTGAAAAACTCTCAAGCAAGCAGCAAAAGAAAGCTGTAAAGGACAAATGAATATTCACAGGTTTATTACACGTATTCCTCTCATATCTGACTCTGACCCAGTAAGAAGTTAAGGTAAAAAAAAAAATAGTTTTAAAATTATCTTAAGAGGCAGAAAGTAGACAGTGGTTGTCAGGAGCTGGGGGAGGGGAGAGCAGGTCGTTAGTGTTTAAATAGGTAGGGAGGTTCCGTTTGGAGATGATGAAAAAGTTCTGGAGATACATGGTGGTAATCATTGTACAACAATGTGAACATGTTTAAGGTCACCAAGTTGTAGATTTAAAAATGATAAAAACAGTAAATTTTATGTTACATTTATTTTGCCACAATGAAAGTACGTTATCTGAAATATAAACAATTCCGGATTAGTTTTTTAAAAAATTCTGCTCTACATCTGTCTGGATTTGCTGTCTTTCCCTTTGTCTTTTTGTCTTTCCCTCCCATCATTATCCTTTTTGCAAGGCAGGTTCTATTTAGAATAAACTGAACTTCATTGGGAATTATCTATTGTCTTCTCAGCATGCTAGTCTATCTAAAGTGGTTCTCAAAGTGGTTGTCAGAAGATGGTCTTTTAACCAGCAGCATCAGCTTTATCTGTGAACTTGTTTAGAAATACAAATTCTTAGGCTCCTCCAAAAGCCTAGTGAGTTAATCACTCAGAGTAGACCCAGCAGCCTGGGTTTTAACAAGCCCTGTAGGCACTTAGGGTGAACACTTAAGTTTGAGAAAAATTGGCCTATTATAGCACATGTAGCCTTAATCCCACCCACATGTGAGAGATATTATGTCCAATTTCTATTCCTGGAATGATAGAAAAAAGTCATAGTTTATGAATATTATCTTCCCCACAAAGCTAATACCTCTTTTTACCCAAGACATAAGAATAGGAGAAATGTAGAATTTATAATAGACTATTACAAATACACAAATTTCTTGATAGATTTGCCACGCAGTGTGTGGGAAGACATCTGTGAAATGCATCAGAAGATCTTCATCTTCTGAACATCTATGAGATCAAGTTTTACTTAGGGAAGGCAGTGTAAGTGCCAGAAAAAATATAGGTTGCTGGCTTAAAATAAGATTTAGGGGTTTGAACTGAAAATATCTCACCTTTTGAGTCTTGTGTGTAAATTATAGTTTGAGAAATAGAGTACACAAATTACAAATTAAAATTGCCACAGCTTCTACCTTCCTTTTCCACCAAATTACAATATTGTTGAATTATCTGCTCTATGCTACTTACCACATGTAACGGTGCACATCCCAAATTCTACTTCTTTGACTGCTGTCTTATTTGAAACTAAATATAAAGTGCAAAGATACATTATTTAATCATATGAAAACTTTTCTAAGTGAAAAACTACTTGAGGATAAAGGACACAAACACTCATTATATAGGAAGGAGATAGTTTTTAACTTTAATCAGAAAAAAAGTTTTTTAACTTTTTAAATCAGAAAAGCAATGTCATTCCTAAAACATCTACTGTTATTGCTTAGCTCAAAAGAAGCCTAAACCTTGAAAGTAATAAATTAAATTAGAAAATACCTTGCAAAGAAGGTTTATATTTATAAACTCTTATATAAATTAAAAATATTTTTTCATCAGCTTAAACATGGTGAGTTAAAGTTCTATAGGTCATAAAAACAAAACAAAAGCCTGACAACTAACTGTAAGGCCGGGTTTTTTTCTATTCTCTATTTTTCTGAAAGAAAATTTGAGTGCATCATTTCCATCCAAAAGGAAGTCTTTATCCCAAATGTTCATTAAAATCACAGTTATAGATTGTTTCTATACATTCTTACGTTAAGGTGATAAATTATTCCCAAGAATTTATTCCAACGTTTTATTTAGCAGGATAATTTAGGAATATACATGTGTTTGAGTAGTTAAATATTATTGCTTTTAAATCATGTTTCTCTGTTTCTAATCTGGCATATTTCCACCAGCCAATTTTTCACAGCAGATTAGGACTAATATCTCAATAAAAAAAAAAATTACATGAGGTGTTCACATTTTTTTAAAGCATTGTATCCTAAACTAACAATATTACATGGGAAAGCACATTTGAATTAGAGTCCACATTGCTGCTTCCACCACTAGTCAGTTGAGTTTCATCAAATTACTTAAAACTCTGTCAGGGCTACTTAACTCTTCTGCAAAAATGTGGAGAGGAGAATCTATCTTATTTGATTGTTGGAAGATTTAAATGTGATAATGTATGTGAAAACATTCTGTAGCTTATTTAGTGCTATAAACATGGTTAAGATATCATAACTTCATTCACAATGAGTGCACACATTTTTTCCTATTTTGATTACTGTAAGATAATACGTTCATAAACTGTTATTCTATACTTACAAGCACCAAATACATTTAATAATAATATGCTGTTGATGTATATATGTTAAGTAAATCAGTATTGGCTTTGTTAAATTATTTGGCCTATCGTGATCAATTTTGAAATGACATTTTTGCTTGGAATGCTTGGATACTTTCTGCTGGCACATTATGAGACATAAATTAAAAGCCAAATTGAACATAGAAAACACAGGTAGGAGGATGAGTATTAGCTTTTAAATACAACCTATTTTCAAAAACCATTAAAGAAAATTAAGCAATCAGCCCTACTATTTACTACCTGTGCAACTTTGGAAAAGTTACTTAAGCTCTCCTAACTCCAGAAAAAGAGTGGGTTTAATCTAATGATCTCTAAAGTACCTTTTGGCTTTGGTTGCCCATTAGGTCATTCAGTGACTTTTTATCTTTTTAGAGAAAGAATGAGCGTGGGTGGGGCAGAGGGGGCAAAGGGAGAGAGAGAGAATCTTAATCAGACTCCACTTTCAGCATGGAGCCCAACCCCATGACCCTGGGATCATGATCTGAGCTGAAATCAAGAGTCAGATACTCAACTGACTGAGCCACCCAAGTGCCCCTCAATGACTTTCATTTTTGATGGGAATCCTATACTGGTAGGTCAGATAAATTACATGTACCTGGGCTTCAGTGTGATATTTGTCAAAATTTCCTGTTACATACCTATGAGTAAACAGGAAAAATATGGTCTGAGTGTCAATAAACTATTTATGTGTTACTTGTTAAACAGTAATATCCACTGATGCTAATTGCTTGGTGCCAATGGGTAAGGAATGATGTGTCACAGTACTCTGTCCTGTTTAATATTTTTATTAATGACTTAGAAAATATTGGTATCATGCTGACTGAATCCAGAGATTCTGAAAAGCTAGAAAGGATAGCAAATATGTTTGAAAATAAATCTGACTCTAAAAATGACAGAATACTCGGCAAGCCTATCAAAATGAAAGCTTAGAGAAATAAAAGTCTTACATATAGAGCTGAAAACTGTGCCCAAAATACTGATAGACTATCTTAATTTGATAGAAGAACAGGTAAAAATGAGTATAAATTTCAATAGTAACTTCAATAGGAATCAAGAGTGTGATAAGGCTTCCTTAAAAACCTACTGTGTTTTAGATTTTACTAATAAAAACCTGGTATCCACAATGATGTAGATAATGATCCCGCTCTTTTTTGTTCTGGCAAATCCTGGAATGTTCTCTTCAGTTCTCAGTACACCTTAACTGTTAGTATATACCATCAGAATCGAATTTTAATTTTTTAGTTTCTTTTTTAAGAGTTGATATGTAAGGTTGATATTCCATAACTTTTATTCTTTCTTAGAGGTATTCCAAAGAAAAAGAGAAAAAAGTTATATTTATATAGGATAAAACTTATTTTATAGAATGAAACTCATTCTATTTTGCAATTATTTTTTTTATTTTGCAATTATTATGTAGGTCTATTCTTGGTCCTTTTATAAATGTAAGCTTATAGGTATAGGATAATTATAAATCTAAGGGTTTAGGTATAGGTATACCATTATATTTATAAATCATATAAAAGTATATAAAAGATATAAAAGGTATGGGGGTATAAGATACACGAGTATAATAATGAGTACAAATTGTTTTAGTAATTTTCCCATATTTTTTAAACATTTTCTTATTTCATCATCCATAATGATGGATTTCATTATTACTTATTGATTATTCCCAACTGTGTTTTTTAAAAAGACTAAGATAATAAAATGGAAGAATGGTTGGAATTGCCTAGAAAGATGATGTGATTGTAAAATAAATCACAGCCATTATATCATCCTTTGTTTTCTTATTTCTTTGCCCAAAGCATTACATCATCATTCAGGAAGATAAAAAAGAACTCTAGATGCACTTTTCTTATAATCTATTTTCATCTTTCATTGAACACAGTTGAGGTTTTTGAATTTTGTGTTATTTTTGTTTTTTGGTTCATAAAAGGAGAAGAAAATTGACAGAAACATTTCACAATTGTTGGATGAATCTGAAAATGAACATAGAGATAGCAGCACCTTAGATGCTAAGGATGATGGTGAAATTGATTGCATAAGCAAAATGAGAGACGTTGATAACTTAGATAAATATCCTAGATGAATTTTCTGTAACTCAAGAATCAATGGATTAATGAGTATTACATTTCTAAGGATCAAAAGGATATATGGTATTCTCATCCAGTTAGTCTTTCAATAGGAAGGACTTAATCCTGAAATGTTTTGTGAAAATAAGCTGAACCATACTATTTTGCTAAAAGGATATGGACAATATTCTTTCCTTTTTAAAGCTGTTTATACCCCTAAATCAAAATTTACTTGATAAGGTTTGTAAATGGACAAATCATGATGGCAGGTATGTATACAAAGGTAACTAAAAGAAAATAGATGATGTAGAAATGAATAAAATTCATTGGATCAATCATTCTAATTGGTGTTTATAAATCTAAAATGAAAACACTTTGCAATTATCAGAAAAGAACATGGCAGCCTTCTCATCAACAAAATATATGGCATGATAGTTTTCAAAAGTATTGTGTTTTGACAATGCAAGTGCAAAAAGAACCAAGGCTATAAACTAGAATCTATTAGAGATGTACTTGAAATCTGGAATCAGTATTTATAAGATAGATACATTCCAGATTCATGCATAACAGTTAATGAGCATTTAGTTGCATTCGAAGTGCCTTGTCCATCTAGGGTATATACATCTTCAAAACCAGGAAATATGGAATAAAAATGTGTAGTTTTCCATATGTACTTTCTTATTAAAATTTCATATAAGTTGTTTCATCAACCCTTTATTCTTACTTTTGTAAATTACTTGTAAAATGCCTTAAAATTAAAAAGAAAAAAGGCCATTGGATAGCACATAGTGATGACTGTTTTTACTGGTACATTGAGGGTTGAGGTCTTTGTCAAATTTTAATGATGGCTCCAGAAAATTTCTAACCTTAGACACTTCCAATTGTTTATGGTTCTGGATTCTTACTCTTCCAGGAAAAAGTAACTATGCATGAAATTGTATATATAAAATTCCAAAAGGTAGACCCCCTAAAGCTCACAGATGACAAAACTGAGACATTGAGAGAATAAATACCTTGTCTACATTTGAATTTGTATCTAAGATATTATAACTTAATTGCCTGGGTTCAGCCTAAACTCTGTTTAGCATATTACAGGTAGAACTTCCCTTGAACAGTTTAATATTAAAATTGTTAATTACTTTTAAAACCAGAGCAAAGCAACAACTATTCTGCTTTAGAACATGTTTTCTTGCCTAGTCTCTTTCACATTTCCAAAGTCAAGGACCTCTCCAAATTCCCTGTAATGTTATCAAGGCAATACAAACCTACATCCCACCATTAACCTCACAAAGTCAATTTTGTTCTGTCGTTGAGCGTCACTGTCTGTCATCAGGAAATAAAAGAAAGGCAGATAAATACAGCACCTTGTCTATATGTCTAGGAGATGTGAGACTGCCAAGGAAATTAAAAGAATCTCAGCCAGGTCACTTAACAGGGTGAGGGAACCAGTCTCCTTGAGCCGTCTGCAAACCTGCAAACCTGCAAACTGGCTTTCTACCTACCAGCATGTGAGTTCCTAACCCATAAAACATGGTTAATAGCTTGTCGTTTTATTGCTTAATGACCCAGCAGAATAACGCAAATTTATGAAACAAGCACAGTTGCATTGCCCCTTGGCTAACAGGTATTATCCAACAAAACACTAGTTGGGTCCCTTGACAGGTGTCTTCTACTGCTACTGTTCCATTGGATGGAAGTTCAAGGTACAAATATCATATCACCATGCTACAGAGGTGCTCATGGGTAGAGCTCCATGAAGCTGGCATGGGGCTTCTGGGCAGTTTTGTCAGCATTTTGGTCTAAGATGTGTCACTGTGAGGGGGATTATTAATTCCAATGAGTTCCAACCTAAAGAGCAAATGTGGAAAGTAGTAAAACCTCAAAGTAATTTGGAACTTCAAAAAAATAAAAACAAAAAAAGGCCTAAAATGGGAAAGAAACATAACTACAAGGAGTCAAACTAATTCTTATTGGTGAGTTGCTACTTCCCGACTCCTACTCCTTAAAAAAAAAAAAAAAAAAAAAAAAGTATATATTTTTCCTCGTCCAAAGCACTATTTAGCCGTAATTCTATACCAATTTCTATATATATGTGCTTCTTTGTTTTTCTTAGCACATTCTTTTCAAGGCCATTAGGCATATGAAAACAGTATAAAGTCAGGCTGTTTGCAAGAGAGCTCTACAGATGTTACTAGATCTAATTCTCATTGTCCACACAGGGCAGGGCTTTGCCTCCCACCCTCACCATCCTCCTCTGGCACAGGTTGGGCTTCGCTCCCAGCCTCCAACTCGTTCTCGGCCTCCTCCTCGCCCTCATTCTCGCCCTCGCCCTCGGCGTCGTGGGCCAGGCTGGGATCCTGGACGGCGGTGACGTTCATCCCCCACGAGGCCTGGAGGCCCGCCAGGAGCAGCCAGCCGACCGTCAGCAGCAGCCGGTTGGAGCCGCCCGCGCCCCCGGGGTTCATGGTTCTCGGCCCCGACGGCCGGCCAAAGCGCAGTGGCAGCCGCCCGCTCCCGGCAAGAGGTGCGTCGAAGAGAGGAGCCTCAAGACTCCGAAGCCCCGCGCCGCTCCAGGTAACCATTGAGGCGTCACGGCTTGTCACCGGCGAGCGGAACGCTGCGCGGGCTCCCAGCGCGGTTGGAACGCGCGCGGGGCCGCCTGTCGCGCCTCGCCAAGGCACCTCCCAGTGCGCTTGCGCCGCGCCGCTCGGTTCCGGCGCTGCAGGTGCGCATGCGGCGGCAGGGGCTGCGCTCAGTCCCTCGGTTACTAAGCAACCCGGTAGCCGATGCCTCTTGTCTGGCTAGCTCATCCTTCCCTCTTCTGAAAGACGTTCGTTCTTCCTACGTTTACTGCTCTCCAAGCCATATCCGTAGGCCCTGAAGCACTCTTCATGTGACTTGGTTTCAAATTCCTCATACAGGATATCCTACTTGGCATGTATCAAGGATTTGGCATAACCTTGTTAAGTATGGTGCCCCAAACTAGAGCCATATCTGAAGGTGAGGCTTGATATGCAGAGGATATAGGAACCCGCTTTCTTTCTTGGCTCTGAAATCTTTTGTTAATAATACACCCTAGTGTTGTTTCGTTTTTAAGATTTTGTGCTGCTCCATCAATTCCCCAATTTCCCATTGGGCTTCTTTATGCTAGATGAGGGGATAGGGAAAGAGAAAGGAAAAGGGAAGGGTGCATTTGTTGTCAAGTTTCTTCTAGTACATTCTATATTTGGATAGATGATGTTTTTAGAACCAAACCTAAAACCGTAAACTTTGTTCCTGTTAATTTCTGTCTTGCTTTGGGACTGTATTTTAAGCCTCATTGAGTTTTTTTTTTTTTTTTTAACTCTGTATCTGTTGTTTTAACATATTAGATCTCACAAGTTTGATTTGGAAAATATGTTTCTTTCAGGTCACTAACAAAAATGTTAAAAAGGCACCAAGCTAAGAATAAAGCACTAAAAGGCTATTCTCTGACAATAATCCATTAATCCACACATTGATTTAACCCAAGAATCAATCATTTACCATGAAGACTAGAAGCAAGAATACCATGGCGTTGCCACTTGAATCAAAAAACCTTAGATGTAAGTGTAACTCCCCACTGCCCTCTTAATGGTATTCAGTGTCAATGTGCCCAGCTACATCATAGAAGTAAATCAAATCCCATTATGTTCCTTCCATTGGTGGTATTAATTTCAACAATCTGCTTTCATTAATTCAGTCTTCTTTAAGAACAGAAACATAGACGTGAGTCAAAAGTTTAGAAATTATGTAATCTTCCAATCCCTTCATTTTTAAATGAGGAGACTAAGAACTGGCTTTCTAGTAAATGACTCACATAAGATCATCCAGCAAATTATTTGTAAAGCAGGCTCTCACAGCCACATCTCCTGAATGCTCATTGGATGCTTAGTGATTCATATAATTTAAAGTTAACAATGAAGAAGCATTCAGTGGGGTAATAGAGTCAAGAGTTCAAGCAATGAAAACAAATTAGGTTTGAAATTTTTTGATCTTGTTATTCCAAGTTTGATTAGACCTAATAGCTACAATGTGGTAGTAAGAGAATATTGATAAATAGATGGTTCAATGAATTTATATGTAAAATTTGAAACAGAGCTCGTTTAACTGTTTCTACATGATCTTATCCCATATTTTGGGGTTTAACATCAATTCCTATGGTACATGGGAATAACCTACTACAAAGTGAACTTGAGGCTTTTGGAACATATGTATATCCAGCCAATGCAGACCAACAGATAAGCACATTACTGAGAAAAGTGGTAAATTTACTAAATTTACTAAAATACCATAATATATTACAGTGCCTGACAAGATATGAGGGAAATTAAAATGGGAAATTTAGGAATGGTTTTGAGATACAATGACCTTTGTTTCATGGTCAAATTAATAAGCCAAACTTTTTCCTTTTTAAATGCTAAGAAAAACAATGTTTTCAAATATAAACTTTAAAAAGAAGATCCATGGTATTTCACAGGCAACATTGTTAAATGCTTCAAAAGTCAATTTAGGACACATATTTTTCCTAAAAACAGTATTCTTTTGGGCAAAGCAAGTCCCATAAACTCTTAAGGTATATAATGTAACTCAAGGAAAAATTAATGACCAAGTAAACAGCTTCAAAGAGAATCTAAATGGAAATTAAAGGCCTCAAAGAGGAGGTGAAAGACTTGACTCTGAAATAAGAATGTTAAAATAATATCTGTAATAGCAACAATGCAAATCATCTAAGTTATAATAAAAAGTATAGTATCTATCCTCAACAGACTCCCACTATCTCTAGTTGAAGCCACAAATAAGTGAAAGGTAAATATTGAGGACACACTGTCAAGAGGGGTTGACCCTACTCTAACCATTGCATACCAAGGATCAGGAATTACATCCTCAATCTTCTGACCCACCTCCCTTCAGTTTACTCAGCTCCTCTCATTCTGTCTGCCTTTAAGCATCTCTATCCCTAGCTTCAGTTTCCAAGGAACAGGGGTTATGCCAGTCTTCTGTGACTCCTCTTCCCTACGCTACTCAAACTTATCTCACCTCTCCAGGTTTGAATTTACCTTTCTTGAACTTCCTTTCTGTGAGAATACTTGGCATGCCTACAGGCAGTAAAATTCCTTTATCTAATCTCCACTCTTATGTATTGTAGAGGGCCTCATGCTCTGGAAAGGAACACCAATTTGAAGATTTGTGATATAAACACAAGATAACAAAGGCCTAAATAAAGGATCACCATAAAAATGAAAAAAGAAATGAATGAAAGAAATTACGAAGGAAAGATTAACAAAATGGAGTGACTGGCTGCCTAAGAGAGAGGAGAGGAGCCAAATAAAAGGAATTGGGGAGCGCCTGGGTGGCTCAGTCAGTTAAGCACTCGACTTTATTTCAGCTCAGGTCATGTTCTCACAGTTTCTGTGAGTTCAAGCCCTGCATCGGGCTCTGTGCTGACAGCAGGGAACCTGCTTCAGATTCTCTCTCTGCCCCCTCTTCGGCCAGCACTCTCTCTCAAAATAAATAAACTTTAAAAATAATAAAAGGAATTAGGAAAGTCAGTAGATGTTTTGTTGAGGCAGGTTAATTTGGAAATCATAAGGTTAAGGTTAAAGTTAAATTGGAGGTATCAAAAGAAGTCAAGTGAAAATGTACTACATTGACAGCTTGAGATGACCAAACACACACACACACACACACACACACACACACACACACACAGCCAGAAGGTAAAAACCACTGCCAGTGAAAAGATTGGCGTGAAAAACATGTATGTATATCCAGTTAATAGACATTCTAAGTATTGCAGTAACATTACATTACAAAGTTACTAAAACTACTGTAGTATTCATGAAAATAGGTGTCTGGGAGAGAAATTGATTTTGGCCTTAATGTTCTTGAATTAGTAAAAAGCATTCCCCCATAATAATCTCCCAGAGAGAAGGTTCTCAAACCACTTTTATCGTATTTACAATCTGTAAGAGAAAAAAATTTTTTATTCTTGAGACAAGTTTTTAAGAGCAGAACTTCTTTCTGTTCAGCACTCTTACCCCTCATCCTCTGCCTATTAGTTAAAACTTTATTGCTACACCTGTGGGAGATTTTTGTAGTAGAAACTATAAGAAGCCCTGTGAATTTTTGTATGTAGGAACAGTGGTTTAAAACAGTCACACCCTCTCAAACTATCACATGTTCATTGGGAACTTCTTGCTTTTATTCCAGCTCCAGGCTCTCCCACCCCTTTATTTTCTCGTCTAATGCAGCTGCCCACAAAATCTTTTCTTTTTAAAGGTCTTTTAAGGCAATAAGAATTTACAAGGTGTCAGGGAAAGAGTAGCACCCAAAAGATGTTCTTTCTCTATTTTAATAACAAGGGTTGAAAAGTTTGTTGAAAGTTAAATCATATTCTAGGGAAATGTGGTCACATGTTGTGAAAGGAATAAGTGTCCCATTGTGAATAAGTCTTCATAGAAGGTATATAGTACTCTCAAATTCTTCTTTTTTAGGGCTCGCTAAGCCATATTTTCTATGATTGAATAAGATGCCCTGTCTCGGGTTATTCAGGTTATAGGTGCATAGTCCCAGTCAGCTATTATGTGCCCCAAATTAATACCTAAAACCATTTTAGAGTTTTCCTTGATTTGGGTTTCCCCTGCAATTTTTGTGATCTATAGTGTGCTTCTTTCTTTTACTTTTGAGTCCATAGTGGGAACCAGTACTCTCATTTCCCTTGGTTACTCAGGAACAACGTCTATCCCACAGTCTCATTTCCGTACTGTTGTACCCACGCTCCAGACCCAACTCAACTTCTTTCCTGTTTTGTTCATCTAATTCCTTCAAAACAGATGTGCCTTTAACCCTGCATTTTGAACATAGACTTCTAGGGGACAAGCCTAAACTGTCCTAATTTCTAAACTGAAAGGTTCCCCCTACCCAGTCTTATTTCCTAATAGTTCTACCTCTAACTCTACTCCCTACCACAACAGGACCAACCCCACAGGGTGTTATAACTCCCATAGCTTCAATATATATGTTAACAACACATATATAATTTTTTTTATATACTCAGGCCCAGTCATACCAGAGCTATTATGCCTTTTCTGCATGTAAGTTAAGAAGCATAGAACTGGATATCTTTACTGTCTTTAGTAGGAAATTTTGCATGGGACCACTAAACACCTTAAGCACCTAAAATATTATCTTAGGATTTCCATTTTACTTTCGAATGAGTAATGGCAGAAGATGGGTATTCTGGGGAAGAGAGCTTCAGAGACAGGTAAAAATAAGTTTTACACTTACCAAAGTTAAATTGTACACTTCACATATACTCACCTTAAACATACACTGAGGACTTTGAGATGCTAGTAAAGAATCTGTCCCTAAATGAGACTTTTTGAAAAATAGCATTATTGTGTCATGTCATACAATAAACTGCACAGATTCACACTTTGAGAGATTTTGAGATATATATATATATAGTGAACTCTCACCACAATCAAGACAGTGAACAGATTCATTTATTCATCCTCTCTGTAATCAACTCTTCTTCCC